GGTTCTAGAGGGTTCATGTCCTGTATGTTATTTTGCTAGATTCTGCAGTATTGTCATAGCAACCGGATTGTAACGTAAATCACTGTGATTTGTTAGTGTGATTTGTCATTGTCGTGGGGGAACTCTGCTGTAGACGAGTACTTGGATACAAATATATTCTCCTGGTTATCTGGTAGGACATCGAAGTCCAGTATTCAGTGAGGTGATTGCGAGGCAATTAATATAACGTAACCAAGGGAACGCCCATTGCTTCAAGAGAATTTGTTCTTTGACAATTTGAGTAACGTAGAATGCGTTTGGGTTAATTTACTTTCCTGTAAGCAGCTACGTTAGTCTCGAGGAGCCTAGCCATCAGCCAGATAAGAATTAGAGTATTGTCTGTCGTAATTAACGGTCAGTGGGCCGGGTAATTGACGTGTTTCAGGAAGTCAAAGTAATTAATCTCGATCCTTGTTTGATCGACTCACACGAAGGCTACATTGTTCCATTAACGTAACGTCGTTATCTGCCCGGAAGTACCGGCATTGGATTGACTCGTGAGAGGAGTAACGTCATTTAGAATAACGTAAACGTGGGGCTAATTACTGTTATTAGTCGCCTGAATTGGTCTGAGTATGGAAGGCTTAGACGGAATTCATACCTTAATGTAAATTGCTGAGCCAGTGTGAAAGGTTGCGTATTGTAATTGTTTAATTATTGATCTTGAGGATAGTAATTAATTACTCTAAAGGTAATCACGAGTGATTACCGTTCTCTTAGCACTTTGGACATTGCAAATCAGAGTTTACCATCGCTGAGTGATTAGTAACCGATTAACGTAAATTAACGTAACTAGTAAAGAGATTAATCAGCTGTCTGGAAGTACAGGGATTAATGGGATTTTCTCACTGAATGCTCGACGGGTTGAGTGTTGTTTGATTTCCGCGTTACTAGTGACAGTTGTAAGAGTTGTTAATTTAACGTAAATGTTACCTTGTTATTAACGTAAATGTTATTGTGTTATTAACGTAAATCAATTGTCATTGATTGTTGATCGTCCGTGGGACGGAGTGTTAACGTAAGGATTAATTTGTGGAAGGGTGCTGGAGTTGCCAGTGAACCCATTAGTTATTGTTGTCATTGAAAGACTACTGATTTGATTGCATTGCAACCGCTATTGCAGTAGTAGACTGCACTGAGGCGTAGAACAGTTAGGAGGTTACTGGAGACGTATTTCAGAACCTACTGTGTCATTTGTTGTAATTGTGATTATAGATCTGCTAGTTCTTGCTTGCTTGTTGATTCCTCTGTGGTCACGCTTATGTTCGAGTTAGTTCATTATGCAGTCCGAGGGGCTGGTGTCTAGCTGTCATTGATAGTGTCACAGGAAGGATTTCGAGTAACGTCATTGACATTTCTTTTTGTTTTGTTGTAGTAGTTAGTACTTTATTGAATAAACTAAGTTGTTATGGTTAACACTGTCTTTTCGTTACACCCCCACACATTATTATTGTTATGCAAATGTTCTTCACACTCGACTAAAATTGAGACTAATTTTCTGAGCTTTGGATCAAATATACGGCACCACACAACAATAAATTATTGTTGTGAGAGCCCGTGACCTACTCGTTAGATTCGCTTCGGCGATTGGCGAAGGTCGGCGGCCTAAGTGGGGGGGATTTCAATTTTCATTGGGGTCTCGGCTTTTGCTCGCGCCTAGTCAATTGTTCATACATGGTCCCAAAGTGAGGAATGAGCTGCCCGCCAAACACACAACGAAACTACGACGTCGGTACAACGTTCGAACAAGTTTTAACACCTCCTAACCAGTTATAACAACCAATATAGCAAGTTGTAACAACGTTCTAATACGTCATAAACACGTTAAGCCAAGATGTAACAACTTTATTACAAGTTGTAACAAGCGGAATATAGAGACAGTTAGGGTTTGTGTTTCCAGGGTGGTTACTACACTGGTGTGTTAGCTAAGCAAGTCCTTCCTCAGGCGACCTAGTTGAATATCACGACAGGAATAAAGGTTAAAGAATAAAGAAAGTTCTTAGAAATTTTCCGAGCTAAAATTCCTTATACCAATTTTAATTTATTCCAAAACTTCTCACAGTTAACTACAAAACTCTCACAAACAGGTTGCAGAGATGGTCAGGAAAATGGCTACTGGAGTTCAACACCAGTAAATGTAAAGTTATGGAAATGGGATCAGGTGATAGACGACCAAAGGGATAGTACACAATGAAGGGGAACTGCCTATCTGTCACGATTCGAGAAAGAGACCTGGGAGTGGATGTGACACCTTATCTAACTCTTGAGGCACATATAAATAGTATAACGACAGCAGCGTACTCTACACTGGCGAAAATTAGAACTTAAATCGGAAACCTAAGTGAGGAGGCTTTTAGGGCGCTTTACACTGCCTACGTGAGACCAGTCTTAGAGTATGCCGCGCCATCATGGAGTCCCCACCTGAAGAAACACATAAGGAAACTGGAGAGGGTTCAGAGGTTTGCGACGAGGCTTGTCCCAGAGATACGAGGGATGGGATATGAAGAGCGTCTGAGGGAACTGAACCTTACGACACTTGAGAAAAGAATGGAGAGAGGAGATATGATAGGAACATATAAAATACTCAGGGGAATTGAGAAAGTGGAAATAGATGAAATGTTCACACGTAATAATAACAGAACGAGGGGACATGGGTGGAAACTGGAAACTCAGATGAGTCACAGAGATGTTAGGCAATTTTTGTTTTAGCGTGAGAGTAGTGGAAAATGGAATGCACTTAGGGAACAGGTTGTGGAAGCAAACTCAATTCATACTTTTAAAATTAGGTATGATAGGGAAATGGGACAGGAGTCATTGCTGTAAACAACAGATGACTGGAAAGGCGGGATGCAAGAGTCAATGCTCGGCGCCGGTGGCTGTGTGGATAGCACGCTGGCACGTGATCCTTGTGGCCCGGGTTCGATTCCTAGCGCCAGCGAAAAACGATGGGCAGAGTTTCTTTCACCCTGATGCCCCTGTTACCTAGCAGTAAAATAGGTACCTGGGAGTTAGTCACCTGTCACGGGCTGCCTCCTGTGTGTGTGTGTGTGTGTGTGTGTGTGTGTGTGTGTGTGTGTGTGTGTGTGTGTGTGTGTGTGTGTGTGTGTGTGTGTGTGTGTGTGTGTGTTTGTGTGTGTGGGGAAAAAAAAGTAGTAACAGTTGATTGACAGTTGAGAGGCAGGCCGAAAGAGCAGAGCTCAAGCCCTGCAAGCACAACTAGGTGAATACAACTAGGTGAATACACACACACGCACACAGGGAAATAAATAAATAAATATATATATATATATATATATATATATATATATATATATATATATATATATATATATATATATATATATATATACAGTAGAACAGAACGTCGTACTCGGCCTACTATGCAAGGCCCGATTTGCCTAATAGACCAAATTTTCCTTAATTTATATATTTTTCAATTTTTTTTCTTATGAAATTAGAAATCTGTTCATTTCATTACGTGTAAGTTAATTTTTTAAAATTTTAGTTAAAATTAACGTAGATATATGACCGAACCTAACCAACCCTACCTAACCTAACCTAACCTATCTTTATAGGTTAGGTTAGGTTGGGTAGCCGAAAAAGTTAGGTTAGGTTAGGTAGGTTAGGTTGTCGAAAAAACATTAATTCATGAAAACTTGGCTTATTAGGCAAATCGGGCCTTGCATAGTAGGCTGAGAAGTGCGTTCTGGCTACTAGGTACGACATATATATATATATATATATATATATATATATATATATATATATATATATATATATATATATATATATATATATATATATATATATATATATGTCGTACCTAGTAGCCAGAACTCACTTCTCAGCCTACTATTCAAGGCCCGATTTGCCAAATAAGCCAAGTTTTCCTGAATTAATATATTTACTATAATTTTTTTCTTATGAAATGATAAAGCAACCCTTTTCTCTATGTATGAGGTCAATTTTTTTTTATTGGAGTTAAAATTAACGTAGATATATGACCGAACCTAACCAACCCTACCTAACCTAACCTAACCTATATTTATAGGTAAGGTTAGGTTAGGTAGCCAAAAAAAGCTAGGTTAGGTTAGGTTAGGTAGGTTAGGTAGACGAAAAAACATTAATTCATGAAAACTTGGCTTATTAGGCAAATCGGGCCTTGAATAGTAGGCTGAGAAGTGCGTTCTGGCTATTAGGTACGACATATGTCTATATATATATATATATATATATATATATATATATATATATATATATATATATATATATATATATATATATATATATATATATATTCATATATATATATATATATATATATATATATATATATATATATATATATATATATATATATATATATATATATATATATATATATAGATAGGGAAGGGAGTACCACCTCTAGCTGGAAGAAGGGGGACCCATAGCCTCGGAGGAAACCACGCATAACGCATTAGAGGGAATGTTTAGATCCCCTCCAATACAGTTTCTGTGTGCTTTTCTCCTACCACCCCCTTCCTTGAATATTTTTTGTGCTTTATTATGCATTTGATGGTAAACAAGATATACATGGGTTCCGCCCCTCAACTGGTGTACAGATTCCCTTGGAATGTCTGCGGGTTAGTGAGGAATGCATGTGTGGCTGTACTGGACATACAGTGCGCGCGCGCCCCATATATATATATATATATATATATATATATATATATATATATATATATATATATATATATATATATATATATATATATATATATATATATATAACACAACATGTGTTTGTTTTATTGAAAATGACCGAAATGTTAGAATAATGGTTCTAACACAAATCTCTCCACTTATATTTTTCACTTAAGATGAAAGTTGTTAGTTTAACTCTCCAAAGAAAATCTTAGGATCCACAGAGTCAGAGCAGAGCAATGTCATCCATGCGGGTGTGATGAGAAGGGAGGTAGTTAACCATGTTTACAGGACCGAGTAATTTCGCCCTGTATTCTCATTGGACAGTTGGGACAGTAGGTGTTGGGACAGTAGGTGTTGGGACAATTGGTGTTGGGACAGTAGGTGTTGGGACAGTTGGTGTTGGGACAGTAGGTGTTGGGACAGTTGGTGTTGGGACAGTTGGTGTTGGGACAGTTGGTGTTGGGACAGTAGGTGTTGGGACAGTTGGTGTATGGACAGTTGGTGTTGGGACAGTTGGTGTTGGGACAGTTGGTGTTGGGACAGTTGGTGTTGGGACAGTTGGTGTTGGGACAGTTGGTGTTGGGACAGTAGGTGTTGGGACAGTTGGTGTTGGGACAGTTGGTGTTGGGACAGTAGGTGTTGGGACAGTTGGTGTTGGGACAGTTGGTGTTGGGACAGTTGGTGTTGGGACAGTTGGTGTTGGGACAGTTGGTGTTGGGACAGTTGGTGTTGGGACAGTAGGTGTTGGGACAGTTGGTGTTGGGACAGTTGGTGTTGGGACAGTTGGTGTTGGGACAGTGGGTGTTGGGACAGTTGGTGTTGGGACAGTAGGTGTTGGGACAGTTGGTGTTGGGACAGTTGGTGTTGGGACAGTTGGTGTTGGGACAGTGGGTGTTGGGACAGTTGGTGTTGGGACAGTTGGTGTTGGGACAGTAGGTGTTGGGACAGTTGGTGTTGGGACAGTTGGTGTTGGGACAGTTGGTGTTGGGACAGTTGGTGTTGGGAAAGTAGGTGTTGGGACAGTTGGTGTTGGGACAGTAGGTGTTGGGACAGTTGCTGTTGGGACAGTTGGTGTTGGGACAGTTGGTGTTGGGACAGTAGGTGTTGGGACAGTTGGTGTTGGGACAGTAGGTGTTGGGACAGTAGGTGATGGGACAGTAGGTATTGGGACAGTAGGTATTGGGACAGTAGGTGTTGGGACAGTAGGTGATGGGACAGTAGGTGTTGGGACAGTAGGTGTTGGGACAGTTGGTGTTGGGACAGTTGGTGTTGGGACAGTAGGTGTTGGGACAGTAGGTGTTGGGACAGTTGGTGTTGGGACAGTTGGTGTTGGGACAGTTGGTGTTGGGACAGTAGGTGTTGGGACAGTAGGTGTTGGGACAGTTGGTGTTGGGACAGTTGGTGTTGGGACAGTTGGTGTTGGGACAGTTGGTGTTGGGACAGTAGGTGTTGGGACAGTAGGTGTTGGGACAGTAGGTGTTGGGACAGTAGGTGTTGGGACAGTAGGTGATGGGACAGTAGGTGTTGGGACAGTAGGTGATGGGACAGTAGGTGTTGGGACAGTAGGTGTTGGGACAGTAGGTGTTGGGACAGTAGGTGTTGGGACAATAGGTGTAGGGACAGTTGGTGTTGGGACAGTAGGTGTTGGGACAGTAGGTGATGGGACAGTAGGTGTTGGGACAGTAGGTGTTGGGACAGTAGGTGTTGGGACAGTAGGTGATGGGAAAGTAGGTGTTGGGACAGTAGGTGTTGGGACAGTAGGTGTTGGGACAGTAGGTGTTGGGACAGTAGGTGTTGGGACAGTAGGTGTTGGGACAGTAGGTGTTGGGACAGTAGGGGTGGTGTCTACTGGTAGTTCTCTCGTGGGTTTTAGTGGATGGTCCCAAGGAGTAAGCTGCCTGTTATTAACCATGTGAAAGCATCACTATTTCGTCGTCTCATATTGTCGTTGTATCTGTTGCTGGTCAAGATATCTCTGGTGATGGTTACGATGAGTGCGGAAATGTCATGATTCTTTTTAAAGAGCTTTGCTGTTTATCTTTTGTCTAGTGTCTTGAAGGAATTTGAGTCGTCTTACCTACATAATAAGGCAGTTATGGCTGTTAGTTCCCAAGTGGGAATGTAAAGGCAAATATAACTTGTCAACCCAAATGCTCTCAATATATAGGCAGGACGACAACGTCACTTTTTAAGGCGCTCTCTAAGTTGTGGAGGAAAATGACTCCCACGACAGCTTTTTGTGCATTGTACTTGTTGACCTTCCATACATGGCATGAGTACTTTCTTACGTTTGACACATTTGCTTTTCGAGCATCAGGCAAGAATTCTTTTTATCTTTAAGTGTGTTTGTATCGCACATCAGGATAAAAAATCAATAAAGCTCACTAGTGGCGCCATCTCTGTGCGGATGATGCAATCTCATGCGATTCTCTGTCGCAAAATACCACCACTTTGTATGTCTGAAGAAAAGTTGCAGACACAGGGACATGCACAACACATACCCACACCAGCCTAAGACATTTATCCCCAAAAGCATCCTTAAAACACATAAACGAAAAAAATCTTTCCAACTAGTAACTAAAAGTTTTTAAAAAAATCCCTATACCCAGAGAAGTCCCGTTAAGTAATTATATATATCGGGCAGCTTAAATCACGAAAGTTTCAGAGGCAAGGAGGAGGAAGAACGGTACTCCTCGTAACACATATGGCTCCTCCAAGCCAATATGCCGCCCAAGTCGCCCAAGTTGATATTGACTACCTGAAGTGTTGTGGTTGCTGGCCTTCGGTTTTCTCGATCACTTGACAGAAGGTTGATGTGATTTGTGTAACCCTATAACTCCTGACCTCGGTTGAGTAGAGACAACTGCGTTGGATCACGCTCTTATATAATCGGCCTTTAACATACACAGCTCACACAATTTGTGCTTGAATCATTGATCTGATCCCTTTCGTCATATTCAATAACACACACACACACACACACATTGCCATTCCCCCCGAACTCGGGGGGCCTCGTAGCCTGGTGGATAGCGCGCAGGACTCGTAATTCTGTGGCGCGGGTTCGATTCCCGCACGAGGCAGAAACAAATGGGCAAAGTTTCTTTCACCCTAAGTGCCCCTGTTACCTAGCAGTAAATAGGTACCTGGGAGTTAGTCAGCTGTCACGGGCTGCTTCCTGGGGTGTGTGTGTGTGGTGTGGAAAAAAAAAATAAAAAAAAAAGTAGTTAGTAAACAGTTGATTGACAGTTGAGAGGCGGGCCGAAAGAGCAGAGCTCAACCCCCGTAAAAACACAACTAGTAAACACACACACACACACACACACACACACACACACACACACACACACACACACACACACACACACACACACACACACACACACACACACACACAGGACAGAGAAGGCTGGGCAGACTGCATATTTCTTGACTGCCAAAAGGCCTTTGATACGGTACCGCACATGAGACTGCTATACAAACTTGAGAGGCAGGCAGGAGTAAGCGGAAAGGCCCTAGTATGGGTGAAGAACTACCTAACAGGAAGGAGCCAGAGGGTAATGGTAAGGGACGAAAAGTCGGACTGGCGAACAGTAACAAGTGGAGTACCTCAAGGATCGGTGCTGGGACCAATCCTCTTTCTAATTTACGTAAATGATATGTTTACAGGAGTGGAATCATACATGTCAATGTTTGCAGATGAAGCAAAATTAATGAGAAGAGTTGTGACAGACGAGGATTGTAGGATCCTCCAAGAGGACTTAAACAGGCTGCAGAGATGGTCAGGGAAATGGCTACTGGAGTTTAACACCAGTAAATGTAAAGTTATGGAAATGGGATCAGGCGACAGGAGACCAAAGGGACAGTACACAATGAAGGGGAACAGCCTACCTGTAACGATTCGAGAAAGAGACCTGGGAGTGGATGTGACACCTAATCTAACTCCTGAGGCACATATAAATAGGATAACGACAGCAGCGTACTCTACACTGGCGAAAATTAGAACTTCATTCAGAAACCTAAATGAGGAAGCTTTTAGGGCACTTTACACTGCCTACGTGAGACCCGTCTTAGAGTATGCCGCGCCATCATGGAGCCCCCACCTGAAGAAACACATAAAGAAACTGGAGAAGGTTCAGAGGTTTGCGACGAGGCTTGTCCCAGAGCTACGAGGGATGGGATATGAAGAGCGGCTGAAGGAACTGAACCTTACGACACTAGAGAAAAGAAGGGAGAGAGGAGATATGATAGGGACATATAAAATACTCAGGGGAATTGACAAAGTGGAAATAGATGAAATGTTCACACGTAATAATAACAGAACGAGGGGACATGGGTGGAAACTGGAAACTCAGAGGAGTCACAGAGATGTTAGGAAGTTTTCTTTTAGCGTGAGAGTAGTAGAAAAATGGAATGCACTTGGGGAACAGGTTGTGGAAGCAAATACTATTCATACTTTTAAAACCTGGTATGATAGGGAAATGGGACAGGAGTCATTGCTGTACACAACCGATAGCTAGAAAGGCGGGATCCAAGAGTCAATGCTCGATCCTGCAAGCACATATAGGTGAGTACATATAGGTGAGTACACATACACACACACACACACACTGGAATATCAAATAATGGATGTAATATGATGGCAACAGGCCAACCGCAGTCAGCCATACTACTGGGAATAAGCCATCTGCAGTGATATCCATTCTCCATTATGAACCCAATTTTATGGCTATCTAATATTTTACCAATTATTTAACAATACTTTATACATTCAGCAATTTAAATTAATATTATTTAAGTTACTACTTTTTATACAGGTTAGATTCAATAATATTTCTTTCACTAACAGATTTACAAATATCAATTTTGCATGAATTAGTCCAGAATGTAAATTATTACAATTTCTCAGGTGAACAAACTTTGGATTTGTTTGATCAAATAAATGAATCAACAACATTTGACTCTTGACCTTTCCTTATTTAATAGTTATGTTTCATATTTGGTTAAGATTTTGCTAGTTTGTATAATATAGAACTTATTAAAAAAATTGCATTACATTTTATACATACAATCTATACAACTGCTCGGGCAATTTTTAATTAGAGATTTAATGGCAAAGATTCCTAAATGCTACATTGATATTGCAATTTTTAGCAATTCAGGAATTCCATTGAAGTTAACGTGAAACGACAGAATTTTTTGAATTCTTTATATTCTGTTCTTTCTTTTTTCTAAGTACCTTCCTTACGACCTTCCTAGCATTCGCACTCTCTCAAACACTTCCCCGAGTGCTCTCACTCTCTCAAACACTTCCCCGAGTGCTCTCACTCTCTCAAACACTTCCCCGAGTGCTCTCACTCTCTCAAACACTTCCCCGAGTGCTCTCACTCTCTCAAACACTTCCCCGAGTGCTCTCACTCTCTCAAACACTTCCCCGAGCGCTCTCACTCTCTCAAACACTTCCCCGAGTGCTCTCACTCTCTCAAACACTTCCCCGAGTGCTCTCACTCTCTGAAACACTTCCCCGAGTGCTCTCACTCTCTCAAACACTTCCCCGAGTGCTCTCACTCTCTCAAACACTTCCCCGAGTGATCTCACTCTCTCAAACACTTCCCCGAGTGCTCTCACTCTCTCAAACACTTCCCCGAGTGCTCTCACTCTCTCAAACACTTCCCCGAGTGATCTCACTCTCTCAAACACTTCCCAGAGTGCTCTCACTCTCTCAAACACTTCCCCGAGTGCTCTCACTCTCTCAAACACTTCCCCGAGTGTTCTCACTCTCTCAAACACTTCCCCGAGTGCTCTCACTCTCTCAAACACTTCCCCGAGTGTTCTCACTCTCTCAAACACTTCCCCGAGTGCTCTCACTCTCTCAAACACTTCCCCGACTGCTCTCACTCTCTCAAATATGTCCCCGACTGCTCACACTTTCTCAAACACTTCCGCGACTGCTCACACTTTCTCAAACACTTCCCGACTGCTCGCACTCTCTCAAACACTTCTCCGACTGCTCGTACTCTCTCAAACACTTCACCGACTGCTCACACTTTCTCAAACTTTAGCACTTTAGCAGTCTCCGTGGTGTAGTGGTAAGACACTCGCCTGGCGTTCCGCGAGCGCTATGTCATGGGTTCGTATCCTGGCCGGGGAGGATTTACTGGGCGCAATTCCTTAACTGTAGCCTCTGTTTAACGCAACAGTAAAATGTGTACTTGGATGAAAAAACGATTCTTCGCGGCAGGGGATCGTATTCCAGGGACTATAGGATTAAGGACTTGCCCGAAACGCTACGCGTACTAGTGGCTGTACAAGAATGTAACAACTCTTGCATATATATCTAAAAAAAAAAAAAAAAAAAAAAAAAAACACTTCTCCGACTGCTCGTACTCTCTCAAATACTTCCCTGACTGCTCGCACTCTCTCAAACGAGAGAGTATCTTACCCTCTTTCCACAGATAGCTAAGATGATCAGAGCAGCAGGATATCACACACACAAGACCCGGGAGGCTGTGGGCTCCTCCGTTTCCTCCCCCCCCCCCCTTCCTTCATCCCCTCCCACGAGACCTCTGGGCTGTCTCGCCTTTCCTTCACCCCCTCTCACGAGACCTCTTTTGTCTCGTTATTACAAGCGAGCATCTCTCTCTCGTTTCTCGTCTCAAGGGAGATCCCTTCTCATCCTTACTCATCCCAGGGATCCGCTTCTTATTCATCTCTGGCGAAGGAAGGCTGCGTCTCACCATTTCTTACTAAAGAGAGGTTGCAACGCAATCTTTCTTGCTAAAGAAGCGCTATATATCACATTTCCATACTTTAAGAGGTCACATTTATTCTTGTCTAATATAACAAAAAATTCTGTATTTCAATTTTTCTTACTCCAGGGAAATATTTAAAACTTTAGTTCACGAGATGTCTCCATGTCATACAGATACCTCGCTGGGAAAGCGACGTAAACAAGCCTATCTTAACTATATTTCTCAAGACTGCTACATGCTTCTTGTCTCCTCTTTCTGGTCAGCGAGGGCGCTCGACTCCCATTCCCTCTATTTCAACTTCATGAACATCTGACATAATTGATTCTGTTTGTAACTTCCCCCCCCCTCTGTCCCTCTCTCTCTCTCCCACCCTTCCTCTCTCTCTCTCTCTCTCTCTCTCTCTCTCTCTCTCTCTCTCTCTCTCTCTCTCTCTCTCTCTCTCTCTCTCTCTCTCTCTCTCTCTCTCTCTCTCTCTCTCTCTCTCTCCTCCTCTCCCTCTCCTTTCCCATCCCTCCCTCTCTCTCCCTACTCTCTCCCTCCCTCTTGCCAATCTCTCTTCAGCTCGGCCCAGATCAACACTTGCCTTTACTGAAAAACTCCCGTGATACCTTGGCACTACGGGTGCGTAAAATAAGAGTAATGCATTCAAAGTGGATTGGATATTGAAAATATAAGCAGCGAACTTGGCGGTCCTCCGCCGGCGGTGTGTTCTGCTTGGAGACTCGGTAAAGCTGCTTGGTTAACCTGCCGAGGGCTAGAGCTGAGTGGCACTCTCAGAAACAGTGCCAGGCGTGGTAGATGGTTGATAATGTCATGTAACACACACACACACACACACACACACACACACACACACACACACACACACACACACACACACACACACACACACACACACACACACACACACACACACACACACACACACACACACACACACACACACACACACACACACACACACACACACACACACACACACACACACACACACACACACACACACACACACACACACACACACACACACACAGAAGAGTAAAGGGAGACATGATAACTACCTACAAAATTCTCAGAGGAATTGACAGGGTAGATAAAGAGAAACTGTTTAACACGGGTGGTACGTGAACAAGGGGACACAGGTGGAGACTGAGTTCCCAAATGAGCCACAGGGACGTAATAAAATATTTTGTCAGTGTCAGAGTAGTTAACAGGTGGAATGCATTAGGCAGTGATGTGGTGGAGGCTGACTCAACACATAATTTCAAAAGTAGATATGATAGAGCCCAGTAGGCTCAGGAATCTGTACACCAGTTGAGAGGCGGGACCAAAGAGCCAGACCTCATTCCCGCAAGAACAACTAGGTGAGCACACCCGCACAGACACAGCTTATACACAAGATACAATCTGCAGACATCATGAGGAAATACCATTTTCGATGAGCAAAGTGAACAAAATGTTATTACCCAGGATATTGTGGCTTGCATCATGGATGAAGGCGTGGAGTGTTGCTAGATGCCACAGTGAAGCTCCAGGGAAGGTTTTAAATCTCAGTTGAGTACCAGTTAGGTACTCCTGAGACCCCTTCCTTATTAATGGCCACCCCAGGTCTAGTGACTGGAGGGACCATCTCGCTCTTTATTTACGCCTAAGATGAAGTCTTCCATGTTGCACAGGAGAAGGCTCTCTCCAAGCTGCGGTTTACGCCTGGACCGATCGATAACACTTATGTGTTGCATCGTGCTCTTGACACTCCTACAGGAGGGCACTTCCTGGAGGGCCCTCTCAAGAAGAGGTCTTTCTAGAGGGCCCCTCCTGGAGGGCTCCTGAAGGAGAGGTCATACTGTAGGGCCCCTCCTGGAGGGCTCCTGAAGGAGAGGTCCTTCTGTAAGGCCCCTCCTGGAGGGCTCCTGAAGGACAGGTCCTTCTGTAAGGCCCCTCCTGGAGAGCTCCTGAAGGAGAGGTCCTCCTGGAGGGCCCCTCCTGGAGGGTTCCTGAAGGAGAGGTCCTCCTGGAGGGCCCCTCCTGAAGGAGAGGTCCCCCTGGAGGGCCCCTCCTGGAGGGTTTATGGAGGAGAGGTCCTCCTGGAGGATAGCCCACAAGTTCACAGTACATGTAAATGGCGTATTTGGGCCGAGACTTGCGTGGTTGTATGTTGTGTTTAGGACGAGACTTGTGTGGTTGTATGTTGTGTTTGGGCCGAGACTTGTGTGGTTGTATGTTGTGTTTGGGCCGAGACTTGCGTGGTTGTATGTTGTGTTTAGGCCGAGACTTGCGTGGTTGTATGTTGTGTTTGGGCCGAGACTTACGTGGTTGTATGTTGTGTTTGGGCCGAGACTTGCGTGGTTGTATGTTGTGTTTGGGCCTAGACTTACGTGGTTGTATGTTGTGTTTGGGTCGAGACTTGCGTGGTTGTATGTTGTGTATGGGCCGAGACTTGTGTGGTTGTATGTTGTGTTTGGGCCGAGACTTACGTGGTTGTATGTTGTGTTTGGGCCGAGACTTACGTGGTTGTATGTTGTGTTTGGGCCGAGACTTGCGTGTTTGTATGTTGTGTTTGGGCCTAGACTTACGTGGTTGTATGTTGTGTTTGGGCCGAGACTTGCGTGGTTGTATGTTGTGTTTGGGCCGAGACTTGTGTGGTTGTATGTTGTGTATGGGCCGAGACTTGTGTGGTTGTATGTTGTGTTTGGGCCGAGACTTGCGTGGTTGTATGTTGTGTTTGGGCCGAGACTTGCGTGGTTGTATGTTGTGTTTGGGCCTAGACTTACGTGGTTGTATGTTGTGTTTGGGCCGAGACTTACGTGGTTGTATGTTGTGTTTGGGCCGAGACTTGCGTGGTTGTATGTTGTGTTTGGGCCGAGACTTGCGTGGTTGTATGTTGTGTATGGGCCGAGACTTGTGTGGTTGTATGTTGGGCCGAGACTTGCGTGGTTGTATGTTGTGTTTGGGCCGAGACTTACGTGGTTGTATGTTGTGTTTGGGCCTAGACTTACGTGGTTGTATGTTGTGTTTGGGCCGAGACTTACGTGGTTGTATGTTGTGTTTGGGCCGAGACTTGCGTGGTTGTATGTTGTGTTTGGGTCGAGACTTGCGTGGTTGTATGTTGTGTTTGGGCCGAGACTTGCGTGGTTGTATGTTGTGTTTGGGCCGAGACTTACGTGGTTGTATGTTGTGTTTGGGCCGAGACTTACGTGGTTGTATGTTGTGTTTGGGCCGAGACTTGCGTGGTTGTATGTTGTGTTTGGGTCGAGACTTGCGTGGTTGTATGTTGTGTTTGGGCCGAGACTTACGTGGTTGTATGTTGTGTTTGGGCCGAGACTTGCGTGGTTGTATGTTGTGTTTGGGCCGAGACTTACGTGGTTGTATGTTGTGTTTGGGTCGAGACTTGCGTGGTTGTATTTTATTCATATCTTTACCAAAAAAACTTTACGATATACGGAATAACGTTTTTATTGCGTATTTTTACGTGCCTATTTTTGTTTCCTTTTTAATATATGTCCTTTTTGCAACTTTTTCTTTTTCCATTCCTATCTTTCATCCCTTTCGGCTGCCTTTTCCCCTTTACTTGTTATCATTATCATTGTCCTTGTTATACACCCGTCTGATTTATGTTTATTGTTAGTTCTTGTTCGTTATGAACCACGACACACGCTCTCCTCTCTCCACTATCCTAATCCTCTTATCACCTTCCTTCTAATTTTATTTATTCTCTCGACTGCTCTTCCTTCCATTCCTCCTGCGTCTCCTGCGAGTCGAGAAGCAGCAGCAGCAGCTCGCCGGAATGAGGCGGACGCATCTTAGCGAGATAAAAAAATGTTGGATGAATATGAAGCTCAAGTTAGTTTATTTGCATACTGTTACATCCCCTTTATTAAACTTTCAATGACAGGGTGAGGAACGAGGCCACAAAGAAGTGTTAAGAGGGAGAGTTGGGGGGGAGGGAGATGGGAGAGGTAAGGAAAGTGAGAGTGAGGGATAGATAGGTAAGAAAATGTTCTTATTATTTCCTACTTGTTCTCTTGTCCGGGGCAAGAGAACAAGTAGGGAAAGGAAAAGGTTGGAGTGAAACAGGAGCTAGGAAATCATGGATGTCTCCGCTGCAGACAAGCCAGATATATGACAGTTTGGAGCACGTGTATCCACACCTGAACCTACACCTGACAACTGGTAAGCTGCAGTGTAATCCACCCTCCAGTTGGGTAGTGGGTTAAACAGCTACATGTGTGTATCATACACAGCTATATGTGTGTCACATACACAGCCACATGTATGTCACATACACAGCCACATGTGTGTCTCTTACACAGCCACATGTGTGTCTCTTACACAGCCACATGTGTGTCTCATACACAGCCACATACACTGAAGGGAACACTGTGATACACACACCATGTGCAACATGGTGTACGTGAGTCTCAACACGAGTCCGTGGAACAGTAATAGTTAACTAAACCACAGTCAGACAATCTTCGCAAGATTGTCTCAAATCTCCTGACTCGCAATCATTATTTTGCTGCTGAAGTGTCTGCCGCGCCACACACAATGTAGGCAATAGGCCTACCCATTAGGTCCTGGAACCCAGGTTTGTTGTCGTTATCCTGACAGCCGTCACGGCGATCCCTAAATGGGTCTGCTTACATAAAGTAATTATGAAAAAGCACTTAGTCCGAATGACTTCCATAGCACCTAGAAGCGAAATCAGGATAAAGAGCTGGGATATGGGGTAGGAGTTAAGGAACAGTGCCCAACCACTTCGAAGGACGGGGATCGAACGCCGACCTTCAAGAACCGAAGCCGTCGCAGTACCAACCAGTCCAAGTTATTAACAGCGAGGAAGAATATAGTTAGTTTAGTTCATATATTATGCACCCCATACCCATCTTGTGGACTCTTGTGGACGGTTGTGGAAAGGGTTACAGAGGCACATAATGGGCTCAGGAACTGAACCCCACAATTCATTTAGCTAAGCAAGTTACAATCTTGATGAGCTAGTTACAAATAACTATTATCTTTAGTAAGAAATGCCAACAACATTAATGTAATATCCACTCCTAATTCAGATTGTCTTCTGTAATGTTAAAAAACAGAGAAGTGGCTGTCCTCAGCAGTGTTAAAACAGAGAAGTGGCTGTCCTCAGTAATGTTAAACAGAGAAGTGGTTGTCCTCAGCAGTGTTAAAACAGAGAAGTGGTTGTCCTCAGTAATGTTAAACAGAGAAGTGGTTGTCCTCAGTAATGTTAAAACAGAGAAGTGGTTGTCCTCAGTAATGTTAAAACAGAGAAGTGGTTGTTCTCAGTAATGTTAAAACAGAGAAGTGGTTGTCCTCAGTAATGGTAAAAAAATCCGTTATTAGGTCCAGTGATATAAAATGCAGAGTAGTTCCTCTTGAGTAATATATCATAGTTGTCGCGAGGTCTTTTTCTCTCTTTATAGACGATAACATTTACCTGTGATGAGAAAATCATAATTGTGCCAAGACGGGGATCGAACCAGCGTCCTGGATAATAGCCCCAAACGCTGGTTCATCCCAACCTTCCCCTCCACCTTCAATGATTTTCTCATAGAAACATCAGACTATTGTGACTTCGTTGTGTTTACCTGTACTCACGGGTCTTAGCCACGCCAGCCCCTTACCAATCCGGCTTTCAGCGCCATAATGTAGTTATAATGTAGTGGAGTTACAATGCACTCAAAGCAGCAACGTTCGAGCACGTGTAGCCGACGACCTGACACCAACTTCATCTTGTAGTTGTAGAAGCAGACTTTTGTAGTTCCGAAACCATGACGAAAGGTAAAGTTACAATTTCCCAGCTGGGAGAAGGGTATTCACCATCATGGCCTCTCGTAAACAGTTCCCAGAAAAATGGCTATATTTTCATCCGTAAATCTTGGGCCGAAGTTGAGAATGCAGTGAACCTCACAAAGAGAGAATCAGTTGCTCAACATTGCATAGTTGAGCTCGAATTGTGGAACAAATTAGTGCGTAACATAATAGAGGTAGGAGCCCTTGATTGTTTTAAGCGGAGGTTACACATATACATAAATGAGATTGAGTGGATATACACAGGAGCTGCCTCGTATGGGCCCATAGGCCTTCTGCAGTTAACTTCATTCTTACGTTCAAATCACTGCTGTCGTCACTGCCCTAAACACGTTATACTATGCACCGGTGGAAGTTCTAACAAACGCAACCTTTTCTCGCCTAAAAAAATATTACAGGAAATAAATTACACATTTTTAAAACCAATTACTCCATAAACTATCTAAAATTTGCCGTAAGTGTTAATGGTGAAAATTACTTGTGCTTGACTCAAGCAGAGACAGAATAATGTCACAGAGATAAGTCCCATCTCAATCATCTCAATATTACCTCGATCAAATTCAACTTGATTAAAAATATCCAACACTACAAAGAGTTGTGTACTAGAGTAATTATTACTGATATTGTGCTTTTCAACAGGTCACGTAGGAGCGGAAGACTGGCCATAAGGAGAATTGAAAAAAAGTCAGTGGGAGATAGGGAGAGAAACAGGGAGAAAGAAAGAAAGAAAGATCAAAGAGAACAATTTGATGGGAGGGAGAACTGGAGAAAGGAGTGAGGGAGACTAAGTTAAGGAGTGCGGAAGAAAATATAGCCGATATGTGGTCGATTCACAAAAGGAAACAAAAAGAACATGTATCGAGAAAGCGGAAATATAGAGGGAAAGAGAGAGAAAAGGGAGGAAAGAGAGAGAGAG